TGTGGCCGATTTGGCTTCTCATACGTTGTGCATTTTTAAAAATGTATTTATATCTTGCCTTCATTATTTTTGCGTATAACTCAAGGCGGCGAGCATACCTAATACTCCTTCCTCCTCCTCTTTGTCCCACAACAACCCTGGGAAGTGAGTTGGACCAGGGAGTGGGTTCTACTACCTTACTACTGGTAGTAAATTGCAAACCGGTAGTAAAGTACTAGTAGTACCTTACTATCGGTAGTAAATTGGAAACAGGTAGTAAAGTACTAGTAGTACTTTACTACCGGTTTGCAACGGGGCCACGCGGACTCGCTTTGCTCTCTCTCACGCTCTTTTGCGCATGCTCAGAAGCGTTCTGATGACGTCAGGGTCGGTGGGCGGAGCCTCCTGCCGGTTTTACTACCAGTTCTATAGAACTGGTCCAAACCGGGGGCAACCCACCACTGGGTTGGACTGAGAAAAAGTGACTGGCTCAACGTCACCTAGTTGATTTTCATGGTTAATCCGAGACTAGAACTCACCATCTCCTGGTGATTGACTGCAAATCACCCAGCCTACTTTCATGCTTAGAACTCACCATCTCCTGGTGATTGGCCCATAATCACCCAGCCCTCTTTCATTCCTAAGGCGGGACTAGAACTCACCATCTCCTGGTGATTGGCCCATAATTACCCAGCCCTCTTTCATTCCTAAGGCGGGACTAGAACTCACCATCTCCTGGTGATTGACCCATAATCACCCAGCCCTCTTTCATTCCTAAGGCGGGACTAGAACTCACCGTCTCCTGGTGATTGACCCATAATCACCCAGCCCTCTTTCATTCCTAAGGCGGGACTAGAACTCACCATCTCCTGGTGATTGACCCATAATCACCCAGCCCTCTTTCATTCCTAAGGTGGGACTAGAACTCACCGTCTCCTGGTGATTGACCCATAATCACCCAGCCCTCTTTCATTCCTAAGGCGGGACTAGAACTCACCATCTCCTGGTGATTGGTCCAAAGTTACCCAACTGGCTTTCATGCCAGAAGGTAAAACTAGAACTCACTGCTTCCTGGTGATTGGCCCATAATCACCCAGCCCACTTTCTTGCCTAAGGTGGGACTAGAACTCACCATCTCCTGGTGATTGGCCCATAATCACCCAGCCTTCTTTCATTCCTAAAGCGGGACTAGAACTCTCAGACTCCTGCTGATTGGTCCAAAGTTACCCAACTGGCTTTCATGCCTAAGGTAGGACTAGAATTCACTATCTCCTTGTGATTGGCCAAGGTCACCTAGCTGGCTTTCGTGACTAAGGCAGAATTAGAACTCATGATCTTTTGCTTTCTAGCCTGGCGCCTTCACCACTAGATCAAACTGATCTATTTATTACGCAAAGCCGGCCAATGAGTGGATGACCTGTACAGGTTAGATTAGTGTTTTACAAAATGGAGGTAACGCTTTGAGAGTTGTTGGTCTACATCAGTAGTTAGTTTCAAATCCCGTCGCTACTCGTTTGCTCGTGTGTGTGCGATGCTTCTGTGCATGTGCAGAGAATGTCCAGGCGGGTAGGCGGAGCCTCCCCAGCCGCCTGCTACCACCAATAGCCTCCCACCGGCCGGTACGCTCCCATAGAGAGGGGCTCCTCCGGGTGCCGTCGGCCAAACAATGTCGACTGGCGGCCCCCAGGGGGAGAGCCTTCTCTGTGGGGGCACCCACTATCTGGAACGAGCTCCCCCCAGAGATACGGAGGATCCCGGATCTGCGCACCTTCCTCCGCGCGCTTAAGACTTTTTTATTTCATCAAGCTGGCCTGGCCTAAATCTTCTCCCCTTTTTAAATGCAAATTTTAGTATATGGTGACAGCAGCGAGATTATTGATAGGTCAATATTGGAAAAATGAAGCTATGCCCACTATTGAAGAATGGACTTTGAAGATGGCCAGTTTTGCAGAGATGGCGAAGATTTCAGCATATTTAAAAGACCGAACTCAAGAGTCTTATGTATGGGAGTGGAAAAAGTGGATAGATTATGTGCAGAATAAATATCAAACTAGGAAATATCAGATAGCTTTTAGCTGAATGAATGTATTATGTAGGGATAGATTAATTGAGTTTTATGAAGGAATAAATAGTATACAGGGGACGGAGGGGTTTAAGTTTCATAAAATGTATTTTTGATTAGGATTTTATTTTGTGGAAGTCCTGGGGGGGAAAAGGGGAGGGCTAGGGAGGGTATGGGGGGTTGGGGGGGGAATTGGGAAGAAAATGTATTTGCAAATTTTAATCTGTTTTTAAATTATGGGGTATTTTAAATTTGTTCAGCCAAATTATTTAATTCGTTTTTATTCTATTTTAAATTTTTGTATTTATGTGTTTTATCCTCTGGCTGTTCACCGCCCTGAGTCCTTTGGGAGTAGGGCGGTATAGAAATGTAATAAAATAAAATAAATAAATAAAAAATATACAATAATACATTATTAACACACCTGAAGAAATAATGGATGGAAACTGACCAAGGAGAGATTCAACCTGGAAATAAGGAGGAACTTTCTGACAGGGAGAGCAATCAACCCATGGAAGAGAAGTTGTGGGAGCTTCATCACTGGAGTCTTCCAAGAAGAGACTGGACTGCCATCTGTCAGAAATGGTGTAGGGATTCCTGCTTGGGCGAGGGGTTGGACTAGATGACCTACAAGATCCCTTCCAACTCTGTTAATCTGTAACCAAGATGATCAGGGGACTGAAAGCTAAAAACATACGATGAATGGTTGTAGGAACTGGGTGTGGCTAGTCTAGTGAAGAGAAGGACCAGGGGAGACACAATAGCAATGTTCCAATATTTGAGGGGCTGCCCCAGAGAGGAGGGGGTCAAGCTATTTTCCAAAGCACCCGAAGGTAAGACAAGGAATAATGTATGGAAGGAGAGATTCAACCTGGAAATAAGGAGGAATTTCCTGACAGGGAGAACAATCAACCCATGGAACAGAAGTTGCCTTCAGAAGTTGTGGAACCTTCATCACTGGAGGCTTCCAAGAAGAGACAGGACTGCCATCTTTCAGAAATGGTGTAGGCTCTCCTGCTTGGATGGATGGGCTGGACTAGATGACCTCCAAGGTTCCCTCCAGCTGGATTTCTCTTCTTGATTCTCTGGTTCTCAAAAGTCTGAATTTTCCTCCTTCGTTCAATTTCCTGGCCAGCGTCCACCAGCTTGGATGGTTCGTAAATACAGACCCACTCGCAGGATTTTGTGGCTGCTAAAAAAAATAAATCAATCAATAAATACACAAAGAGCCTTCATTTTGACTGATACTGAATCTGAGTTAGTCTTAATTGGCTGTCATTCTCATCACCTACTTATTTGTCCCGAGTCCACCTCCTACTTGATGTGTGGTCCAACCTCTAAGCCCAAATCAATATTTTACCCAGATTTTTTTTTAAAAAAAAAATCAATGTTTGCAAATATTTTAACACGCTGTTGCTTAATAGCATATGTTTTCCTTGCTTTATTTAATCTTCCTTGTGTTCTGCAGTGTTTACTGAAAATCAGTAGAGGCTTCTGTCTGCGAACAAGGCTGAATTTATAAACGGCAAAGGAAGAAACCGAGAAGCTTTTAATGGGATAATTTTGCACGCTTGAAGGGCTGCGCTTGTAGATACTGTTTGACCATATGTTGTACAAGTTCATTCGATGTGTAGGAATAACAGAATAACTCACCAACTCCTAGAGATGAAAAGGACTTTTGAGGTCTTCTACTCCAATCGCCTGCTGAAGCAAGAAACCCTATACCACTTCAGACAAATGGTTGTCTGATCTCTTCTTTAACAGATTAACAGAGTTGGAAGGGACCTTGAAGGTCATCTAGTCCAACCCCCCACCCAGCGAGGAGACCCTACACCATTTCTGACAAATGGCAGTCCAGTCTCTTCTTGGAAGCCTCCAGTGATGAAGGTTCCACAACTTCTGAAGGCAACTTCTGTTCCAGGGGTTGGTGGTTCCCACTCTCCTTATTTCCAGGTTGAATCTCTCCTTGGTCAGTTTCCATCCATTATTCCTTGTCTGGCCTTCGGGTGCTTTGGAAAATAGCTTGACCCCCTTCCTCCTCTCTGGGGCAGCCCCTCAAATATTGGCACATTGCTATCGTGTCTCCCCTGGTTCTTCTCTTCACTAGACTAGCCATGCCCAGTTCCTGCAACCGTTCATCATATGTTTTAGCCAGTGGTGAAATCCAAATTTTTTTACTACCAGTTCTGCGGGGGTGTGGCTTGTTGGGCGTGGTGTGGCTTGTTGGGCATGGCAGGGGAAGGATATTGCAAAATCTCCATTCCCACCCCACTCGGGGGCCAGCCAGAGATGGTATTTCTCGGTTCTCCGAACTATTCGTAATTACCGCTACCGGTTCTCCAGAACCTGTCAGGACCTGCTGGATTTCCCCCCTGGTTGTAGCCTCCAGTCCCCTAATCCTCTTGGTTGCTCTTCTCTGCACTCTTTCTAGAGTCTCAACCTCTTTTTTATAGTGCGGTGACCAAAACTGGATGCAATACTCTAGGTGTGGTCTTACTAAGGCTTTATAGAGCGGTATTAGTACCTCCCGTGATCTTGATTGCATCCCTCTGTTCATGCAACTTAGGAGTGCATTGGCTTTTTTGGCTGCTGTAGCACACTTTTGGCTCATATTTAATTGGTTGTCCATTAATTCACACTCAAATAACTGTGATGGATATCCATCTATCACTTTGATAGAGAGCTATTCCTCCAGGTTTAAGCCCTCTCTCAAAACCCACCGTGGGCATCCTTCCCGGATTTCCCAGACAAATCGATGACAGATTTTGGTCCAAGCAAAATAAAAGTATGCTTCTTTCTCTTTTTGGACCTGGTCACCATTTTTTGTTTTGTTTTTTTTAAAGAATAAAACATCCCCCATTCTTCCAGTTGCTCCTAAACCTAGACAGCTTCTCTGGCACAAGCGGAGAATTTTTAGAAAATGATGTTTTGACAATGATTGTTTGTCTGTTTCCGTTAGGAGGATGGAGGCCTCGTGCTTGGAATTAGCTCTGGAAGGGGAGCGGGCGTGCAAGGCAGGAGATTTCCCTTCCGGAGCCGCCTTCTTCGAACACGCAGTCCAGGTGGGGACGGAGGATCTGAAGACCCTCAGCGCCATTTACAGCCAACTGGGCAATGCCTACTTCTATCTGAAGGACTATGCCAAAGCTTTGGAGTACCATAAGCACGATCTCACGCTGGCCAGGTAAGGGTTCTGCAGCCATAACTGGGCCTTCTGGAGACATGAAGGAGGAACCGAGTTTGGGGGCTGCTGCAACCAGCGATGAAATTCAAAATTTTTCCGTACCAACCGGGTTCAAGGGACCTTGTAGGTCATCTAGTCCATGGTTTAGCTGAGGGAGGAATTCTGGGAGTTGAAGTCCACAAGTCGTAAAGTTACCAGGGTTGGAGACCCTGGCTTTAAGAGGTAAAAAAAAAAAAGCCTTAATTTCATGCCTTAAATATCATCGCCCCCTCATAAAAATATGGAACTGCTGAGAGAAAAGCCAACATTTTCAATTTTATTTATTTATTTATTTATTTATTTATTTATTTATTTATTTATTTTATTTTAAATTTATATACCGCCCTTCTCCCTGAGGACTCAGGGTGGTGTACAGCCAGAATTAAAAAACATAAAATACAAATATTAAAAACAATTAATATATATATAAATTTGGCCCAAAATTAAAAATACAAACCAATTAAAACATTTAAAATTTCTTCTTAAGCCAGCCCGGCTTGCTGGAAAAAGTGGGTTTTAAGGGCATGGCGGAAGGCACTAAGGTCTTGGATTCTCCTTATCTCTGGGGGCAACTGATTCCAGAGGGTAGGTGCCCCCACAGAGAAGGCCCTCCCCCTGGGGGTCACCAGCCTGCAATTCTTCTCCCTTGGATGGTATTTGCCAAGATACCATCCCTACTCACAGCCAGGAGTGGGATTCAAAAATTTTAGCAACAGATGTTTGTCTGGTTGCTGGGTGGGCGTGGCCATGGTGGGCGTGGCCTACTTGGCTTCCTGCACTACGGCGGTGGGGTGTGTGTGTCATTTTCGCCCTCCCCAAGCTCCGGAGGCTTTTCTCGAGCCTTTGGGAGGGCAAAAATGGCCTCTTCTGGCCTCAGGAGGCCCTTCGGAGTCCGGAAACGGGCCCATTTCCAAACTTCCGGAACATCCTGGAGGCCCTTTTTTGCCCTCCCAGAGCCTCCACATGGGTGCTGCACTTACCTGGCATCCAAAATGGGCCGCCTGGAGAATCCTAGGAGGAGCTGGGTGGGGTGGGTGCGGCCAGCCAGTTCTTGCAACTACCAGTTCAGTGAACCGGATGTAAAATTAGCATCCAACGCCCGAACCGATCTGAACCGGCTGAAGCCCACCCCTGCTCTCAGCCCCTGAGCAAGGTCGAAGGAGGAAATGCAGCGCCCAATCTGAAAACACTCCCCCCCCATCCCACCCCAGTCATTCCTCACTTCCACCTGGCTTCCTTCCAAGAGAAACTCCCAGCATCTTTTCCCAATGCCCGCAGAACCATCGGGGATCGGATCGGAGAGGGCAAAGCCAGCGGCAATCTTGGCAACACGCTGAAAATCCTGGGTCAGTTCGACGAAGCCTTGGTTTGTTGCCAGAGGCATCTGGACATCTCGCAGGAGCAAGGAGACAAGGTAGGAAGTTGACCCTTCAGTGACCATCCACCCTCTCTGACCAGGGAAACAGGAGGATTAAGTGGGGAAGAGTGGAAAGGAGATACCCCCTCAGCCTTGCATAGTTGCAGGGTGGTGCAATGGTGAAATCTAAAATTTGTTACTACCGGTTCTGTGGGCGTGGCTTGGGGGGGGTAATGTGACTGGGTGGGCATGGCCAATTTTTTTTTTTTTTACTTTTAAAACCACTTTTTCTACAACCTCTTCGGCGAAGAGGTTGTAAAAAAATGCTTCCAAAAGGCTCTGACAATCCCAGCTGAGTTGCCTGATCGGCAGAGGCTTTTAAAAAAACCTCTGCAGATCAGGCAACTCAGCTGGGATCGTCAGAGGCATTTAAAAGAAAAAAAAGGTTTTTTTTTCTTTTAAAAGCCTTTGAGGATCCCAGCTGAGCCGCGCGATCATCAGAGGCTTTTTTTTTTATTTTTAAAAGCATTTTTCGGCCGAAGAGGTTGTAGAAAAAATGCTTTTAAAAGTAAAAAAAAAACAAAACCCTGATGATTGTGCGGCTCAGCTGGGCATGGGGGGGGGCAGGGATTTTTGCTACTGGTTCCCCGAACCACCCGACTCCATCGCTACTGGATTGGGTGATCCGGTCCGAATCGGGAGCATTTCACTCCTGGGGTGGTGACTTTTAACCCTCTTGAACATTGGCAAGTCTGGGGGTGGGGGGCTTGAGCAATTGCACACTCAATGTGCTGCAAAGAAGATGCTTTCCACATTGCTTCAATTGTTAACCCGGTATCTTTATTAGGCTTGTTTTAGTGGGAAAACTGAGCAGCTGAGGGGAAAGTTCCAGGGCAGAAAAACACTGCAAAGAGAAATTGGAAAGCATCTTAAGCAGAGGTGGGCGTCACACACTGTAACAACCAGTTCACTCACCAAGCGGAAACGTGAGTGCGCGCCGTCCATGCATGCATGCGGCATAAAAAAACATGCAATTCGCTCACGTGTGCCATCCACACATGTGTGCGGCATAAAAAAACCACAGCAATTCGATATAGGACGGGATTGTGCCTGATGCAGTGGAGACAGATTGCTTAATTCCCATGGTTTTTGGGAAGATGACATGGCTTTCCTTCTGAGGGTCTAAATTTCTGAATGCAGCTTTGGATGAGGGAGTAGAGTCCTCCCCATCCCGATACCAGTTGTTAGGTCTGCCATGCATCCTGCCATAAAAGGCTAAGGGAGAGGAGGGAGACATGGGGTCAGTGGTTGGTTCCTCCCGGTTTGGCCCGGTTCGGCTGAGCCGGTAGCGGTGATGATATGATGTCACCGAACTGGTTCTCTTTGTTCGGGAGCTGGGCCCCCCCACCCCTGCGTTATTCTTACCTTTTATTTGGCCCTGCCCCCAATCTATTTGCTGTCTCTCGAGTCCCAGCTGATCAGCTAGAAGGAAAAAAACTCTTTAAACTCTTGCCGCAGGGCTTCAAAGGGCCGCCCTACGGCTGATCAATGTTAAAAGGCAGTGTGGTGGTAGACCAGGATGCTCTAAGAACAAATGGGTAGACCGGTGCCTCCAAAAACAAATGAGTGGACCGGTGCCTCCAAAAACAAATAGGTATACCGGAATGCTCCAAAAAGAAATAGGTAGACCGGTACATCTCTGCAAGCAGTTAAAAGCCTGATAGACCAGTACCCCTGCTAAATCCTAAAGAATTGTCACATCAAACCATGCCCACAAAATAAGCCACACCCACAGAACCAGTAGTAAAAAAATTTAGAACCCACCCCTACATGGGGTGGAGCAAAATGGGCAATCAAACAGCATGTGTACGTGATGGGGAAGGGGGAAGGGGGAAAGATAGTTTAATGAAGAGCAGAAGAGCTCGGAACCAGCTTGTGCCAGCGATCAAGGCCGTGCACCCTGAGAAAGAATGTGAACTACCCTAAACATCACAACATTCCCAAAACATCAGAGTCTTATTGGCTGACGATGGACTGGTTGTGGGAAGAGGACTGGGATGTGGGGGAAACTTTCTGTATTGTTTTGAGCATGGTAAATTCGGTTCTAGCCAGACTTTGCTGCAGCCAGCATCTTTTAGTAAAAGAACCTATCACTTCCACCAAATGGGAGTCGAGGGTTTTTCTTTCCTAAGGGATCAGACAGGGGCAGGTCTGACACAAGTACCTGCACCGTGATAGGACTTTGAATGCGGCAATCATTGGAAGGACCCCTCCTCCCATGAGCTCTTTTCTTTTTTCTTTTTGATAGGTGGGGGAGGCCCGAGCTCTGTATAACATCGGCAATGTCTACCATGCCAAAGGCAAGGAGGCATTGTGGACCCTGCCCCAGGAGGAACCAGGCCAGCTTCCCCAGGAGATTCAGGAGGCTCTGAAAAAGGCATCCGAATTTTACAAGTGAGTGAGTGGTCTTCTCCAGGTGGAGAGGAGTGTGGGGGGGTGTCGCATTGAGGCCCCACAATATTCAGGGTGCTCCTTAGTGTTGTGGCTCCGTTGCCTGAGCCTGGGCTATCGACAGATGCAGACTCTGAGAGTGAGGAAGAGGAGTTGGCAAGGCTTCCCTCTCCAGGACCCTTCTCTCTGACAATGCCTCCGAAGGACACTGAAGGCCAAGAGCTAGGCTCAGAGCCAAGCATGTCCCCGCAGCCACAGGTGGACAGCGACGAAGGAGATAAGTGCTGGCTGGACCCTCGCCAGAGGCGCAGGGAGAAGCGTGTGCAGCAGAGGGGAAGGCGTGCCAGAGATTAGCTGAGTCACTGGACCACACCCCACAAGGTATAAATGTGGGTGTGGTGGCCGGTTCAGTTTGTGACGAGCAAAAACTAGAAATAATCCATGATCTCTGCGTTACTGGACTGTGCCTACTTTATCGGACTGCATTTGGATTAATCCTTGTATTGTTGAAAACTCTGCTGTTTTATCGGAATGCTGGCAGTCTAATCTTTGTTTTGTGTGAGTAAAGTCTGAATTGGCAGCTAGCCACTGGGTTGCTGCCAGCTTTATTTTCAAAGAATTTTGTCATGTGGCTTGTTAACTCCGGGCCGTCTGTGGGGGTGCGTGAGTGGAACGGGGACAGAACACTTGTGCACTCACAATCTCTCCAGGGTTGCAAAGAGAGCCAAGCAAAGCTGAGACTGGGGCTTCTCAAACTTTTCCCTTCATTATCCAAAATCGGAAACTCTTATCACACTTTGTCATAAGTCCTTTCCTTCAGCACGGTCATAACTTTTTTTTTTAAACAATTTTTTTTAATTTTTCCAATAAAAAACTCTTAAACATAAAATATATCTTTTGAGAGCAAAGGTTTGATCCGGTCATAAGTTAGTACAATTGCTCGCACTTCTTTAACACATTTGATTCCAAGTTTCATCCGTTTACATCTTTAAAATAAAAGTCAAACCACAAATTTTTTATCACAAATTCTAACATCTTAATCTAAACATTTTACATTCTATCGTATCACCGTAAATCTTAATTCCCAAACAGACACAGCTCATTTTTATATACCATCTTTAGTTTCCAAATAAACACAATTCTAATTTTTATATCATTTTACAAATCAAAATTCCGTATATATTCCTTAATCTCAAAACCCATTTCATCAAATATCTATCTTGATCTCTATTGATATACATCTAATTTTCTTAGGCTTATCACCAATTACACTTCTCGTTTTACATAAAATCATTTCAAAATCAGTTCACATCATTTAATTATCATTCATTATCTTCTTTTTTCACCCCAATTAATTTCCAACAGCCTAAAGATAAAAATGTTGGAAATTAGCACGGTCATAACTTTGAATGGCTGCTGAAAGAAGGGCCATAACTCGAGGACCACCTGTGTTATAAAAAGAATATCATTGGATGATTTTTTTTAATGTCATTTCACACTATCGTTGGAATACTTTGGGAGAATTTTGAACATACCTAGATACCTGTGCCAACCTTTAAGTCAATTTACATGGCCCTGTTTGTGATAGGTAATGGGTTTGTGTGGAAAAATCACTTTTACCCAATTTTGGTGTAAAATTGTTTTGGGAATTATGGCCAGGTTGGAGCTTCCGATCTCCAGGAATATTGAGAGGTGGAAAGTCTTGCTCTTCCCTTTAAAAAAAAAAAAAAAAGTTTTTATAAAGATTGTTTTTTTTACAGAATAACGGCAATAGAAGCTTAGAAAAAATGTGTGAAACGGTAATAGGAAAAAAAAAGAGAAACAGTTTTCGATCTTCTTTATGGCAGTTATGAATATGAATGTGTGTTTGTGTAGTAAAAATTTGTAGTAGTTCGGAGAACCGGTAATAACATTGGCTGGCCACGCTCCTGAACCGGTCCCCGGCCCGGTCTCCGCTCACTTACCCCGCCCACCTCATCAGAGGCGTTTTATTTTTTTACTTTTAAAAGCATTTTTTCTCCAACCTCTTCGGCCAAAAAAATGCTTTTAAAAGTAAAAAAAAAAGCCTCTGATGATTGCGCGGCTCAGTTGGGATCGTCAGAGGCTTTTAAAAGCATTTTAAAGGTTATAGGAAAAGAGGTTGTAGGAAAAAAACAATGCCTTTAAAAGCCTCTGGCGATTCCAGCTGACTTGCCTGATCATCAGAGGCTTCTAAAAGCATTTTTTTCTGCAACCTCTTAAGGTTGTAGAAAAAATGCTTTTAAAAGTAAAAAAAAAAAATAAAAAGTTGGCCACACCCACCCAGTCACATTACCCCACCAAGCCACGCCCACAAAATAAGCCACGCCCACAGAACCGGTAGTAAAAATATTTAGAACCCACCCCTGGTGTGCATGTGAGTGGGAGAATCCATAAAAGATTTCCAGTCACCAATAAAGTTAGCTATTGTCTTCTTGCTGGTATTCTTGGGAATACAAGAAGTTTATTTATTTATTTTATTTATTTATTTTATTTTTAAAATTTTTATACCGCCTCCTCTCCCGAAGGACTCGGGGCGGTGAACAGCCAAAATTAAAAACACACAGTACAAATATTAAAATACATTAAAACGAAATTAAATTTATCTTTGGCTTCCCCAATTTAAAACCCCTTACCCATAAAATTCCCCAATTAAAATATTTTTAACCCAGCCTGGCTTGCTGAAATAAAAAAGTCTTCAGGGCCCGGCGGAAGGTCCGGAGGTCCGGGATCAGTCGTATCCCTGGGGGTAGCTCATTCCAGAGGGCGGGTGCCCCCACAGAGAAGGCTTTTCCCCGGGGGGTCGCCAGCCGACATTGCCTGACAGACGGCACCCTGAGGAGGCCCTCTCTGTGGGAGCGTGTTGGCCGGTGGGAGGTTATCGGAGGCAGAAGGTGGTCTCATAAATAACCGGGCCCTAAGCCATGGAGCGCTTTGAAGATGAGAACCAATACCTTGAAGCGCACCCGGAAGACCACTGGAAGCCAATGCAGCTCACGCAGGAGAGGTGTCATGTGGGAGCGCCATGTCGCCCCCATAACCACCCGCGTGGCCGCATTCTGCACCAGTTGGAGCCTCCGGGTGCTCCTCAAGGGGAGCCTCATGTAGGGTGAGAAGTTGGTGAGAACTCTCTTGGCAGGTCTGCCTCCCCTTCTCAACCACTTCAGGTGGTTAGATTTGACTTGGCTTCTTTCTGTACCTTTGCCTCACGTTGAGAAGTTGCGAGAATGAATTCACCTCACAGCCTTTCTACCCACACCCCACCCAAACTTTCCATCTCCGTTATTAGTGTAATGATGTTCTTCAGTGGATTATTTACCTGTGTTGCTCCTTAAAAAAAAAAAAAAAGCCTCAGCAGCAGGTAATTTTGGCTTGCCTTGTCTGGCTTTGGAACGTCATCCCATTACAGTTGGGAGAGGAGACCACAAGGAAATCTCACGGCGCGTTTTAAACATCCTAAATGAGCCACGGTGGCAGAGCGGTTAGAGTGCAGCACTGCAGGTTCCTTATTCTGCTGCCTGCCGGCTGCCTGCAATTTGGCAGTTCGAATTTCACCAGGCTCAAGGTTGACTCAGCCTTCTGTCCTTCTGAGGTGGGTAAAATGAGGACCCAGATTGTTGGGGGCAAAAGGCTGACTCTGTAACCCACTTAGAGAGCTGGAAAGCATTGTGAAGCGGTATATAAGTCTAAGTGCTATTTCTATCTATCTATCTATCTATCTATCTATCTATCTATCTATCTATCTATCATCTATCTATTATCTATCTATCTATCTATCTATCTATCTATCTATATCTATCTATCTATCTATCTATCTATCTATCTATATCATCTCTCTCTATCTATCTATCTCTCTATCTATTTCTCTATCTTTCCATCTCTCTATCATCTTTCTATCAATCACCTGTCTATCTATCATCTGTCTGTCTGTCTATCTATCTATCTATCTATCTATCTATCTATCTATCTATCTATCATCTATCAATCATCTATCTATCAATCATTTATCTACCTACCTGCCTACCTACCTATCTATATACTGTGGTGGTTAGAATGCAGTATTGCAGGCTAATTCTGCCCATTGCCAGCAGTTCGATTCTCACCAGTTCAAGGTCAACTCAGTCTTCCATCCTTCTGAGGCGGATAAAACGAGGACTCAGATTGTTGGAAGCAATAGGCTGACTCTGTAAACTGCTTAGAGAGGGCTGTAAAAGCACCGCAAAGTGATATATAAGTCTAAGGGCTATTTCTTTCTATCTATCTATCTATCTATCTATCTATCTATCTATCTATCTATCTATCTATCTATCTATCTATCTTGATGGTGGAGTGGTCAGAATGCAGTATTGCAGGCTAATTCTGCTGACCACCAGCAGTTTGATTCTGACCGGCTCAAGGTTGACTCAGCCTTCCATCCTTCCGAAGTCGGTAAAGTGAGGACCCAGATTGTTGGGGGCAAGAGGCTGACTCTGTAAACCGCTTTGAGAGGGCTGTATAAGCACTGTAAAGCGGTATATAAGTCTAAGTGCTATTGCTAAATGTGCCTCTGGAGGGCAGGATCTGAAACCGAACTTCCAGACAAAAGCCTGAGTTTTTAACAGGAAAAGGGAGAAGTGATAAGTGAGGAAATGGAAGAGTGGCAATCAATGATACTTTTCAAGAACGTGCGATTTTCCTATTTGAAATGGCTTTCTGGGCCTTTTCTCGAGCATTAAGGACTGTTTTTTTTTTTCTGGCTTACCTGTAGGAAGAACCTTTCCCTCGTGAAGGAGTTAGCTGACAGAGCTGCGCAGGGCCGGGCTTACGGAAACCTTGGCAATGCCCACTACCTGATGGGCAACTTCAGCAAAGCGATCGTCTTCCATAAGCAGGTGAAACACGAGGTCAAGGTGGGATGTCTCCTTTCTGAGGAATTGTAGAGATCTACTGCATTTGGGAGGAGGGAAATGAAAATCAGGGCCCTGCAGACCCTTATGAAGATACGTTGGGGGCCACACTTAAAAGATTTATTACAGCAATGTTGTCAAGTTCGAAGCGTGCTTGCCAATGAACCAGAGGGGAAGGAAGAGGAATTGGAATGCAGGCTCCAGACATCGCCCGAAACAACCTGTGGGAACCAAGGACACTTCTGCAGGTGTTTGCCGAAGCTTAAAGATATTTTCCCATAACAATATACCGGCACTCAATTGGACAATGTGCACTAATCAAGAGAGGGGGATATCGGATCGTCTCGGCAGTGCTTGCTTGCTTGGGTTCATCAGTCAGAATCTTGATAAATATCTACAAACCTTACCAATAATTTAACTATTAACCATTAATTGGGTCCAATTCTACTGATCACTGCAGTGACTAACGATGGAAATTCCAGCCCCAATTCAGATCGTAAGTCAAGAACTATGTGTAAATAAAACTGGGTGGGAATTTTGGGGGGGGCCTGAATGTTGAACAAAGTGTTGTGGCTCTGTTACCTGAGCCTGTGTCATCGGCAGGAGAGGACTCCGAGAGTGAAGGAGAGGAGTTGGCAAGGCCTCCCTCTCCAGGACCCTCCTCTCTGGCAATGCCTTCGGTGTCCACCGAAGGGCAAGAGATAGGGTCGGGGCCAAGCATGTCCACGCAGCCACAGATGGACAGTGATGAGGGTAATGAATCTTGGCTGGATCCTCGGCAGCGTCGCAGAGATAAGCGCGTGCAGCAGAAGAAGAGGCGTGCCAGAGATTAGGCTGAGTCACTGGACCACCCCCCACAGGGTATAAAAGGGGGTGAGGTGTCCATTCAGACTCTGTGACGGACAAAACTAACTACTATTGAGTCACATTGCATCTTTGGAAACAACATTATCGGCCTTGGATTTATTTTACGAACTGGACAATTCTTGACTGTGGGTATTTTGTTTATTGAGTAAAAGTTCTTGGCAAGCAGCTACTGGGTTGCTGCCAAGCGTCTTATCAGAAGAATTGGTTGTCTGCCAGTTTATTTAACCCCCGGCTGTCTGTTTGTGTGCATGTGTGGGACGGGGACAGAACACAAAGTAATAAGCATGCCAAAGTGCTTTTTGGAACTCCTTGGTTGCCAAATGTACTGTCAGCGTTCCAAGTAATGCACCCATAAAAAGCAGAACTCTGAGGCAGGCAAATTCCTCAAAGAACAATTTATTGGATACATCCTATTGGCACAACTTGTGAAAGCCGACTCTGAAAGTTCCCGCTGCTTTCACCTAATTAAAAAGTAAATGTTTCCCTTTTCCCCCAAGTCACTGGTCACGCTGTCCAATCAAAGTGTTGGCTGGTTGTTTGGTTACTTCACTCCTCCTCTCCTCAGCCACCTGTTTGAAAGACCTTGGTTCCCACAGGGAAAACATTCTTCTTTTTGGCTACAAAACCCCATCTAACTATTTCCCTCCTCCCACTGTTGTGTGGAAACCCTGAAGCCAGGTTCACTTCAGGATTGACATGTATGTCAGCGGGGAAGACTAGAATGATGGTGACCTAATAGAGGTGATACCCCTTCAGTGACACCCATGACTTTATCCATTTCAGCGGCTGAACATCGCTAAGGAATTTGGAGACAGAGCCGCCGAGAGGAGAGCGTACAGCAATTTGGCCAACGCTCATATCTTCCTGGGAAGCTTCGATATTGCCGCAGAGTATTACAAGTAAGCAGTGGGGAAGCCAGTACCCTCCAGATCTGATCTGTTTGGATTCCTGGCAGTAGATCAGCAAAGGGGTCCTTCCTGTGTCCCCTGAATGGAATGGAATAGAATAGAATATGGAATAGGAATAGGAATAGGAATAGGAATAGGAATAGGAATAGGAATAAGAATAGAATTGTTTTAGAATTAATAGAATCGAATAGAACACAGAACAGGTTACAGAATAAAATAGATTACAAGAAGAATAGACTAGACTAGACTAGACTAGACTAGACTAGACTAGACTAGACTAGACTAGACTAGACTAAAATAAAATAGAACAGGTTACAGAACAGAACAGAACAGAGCAGAATAGAATAGAACACAGAACACAGTACAGGTTACAGAATAAAATAGATTACAAGAAGAATAGAATAGAATAGAGTAGAGTAGAGTAGAGTAGAGTAGAGTAGAGTAGAGTAGAATAGAATAGAATAGAATAGAATAGAATAGAATAGAATAGAATAGAAAACAGAACAGGTTACAGAACAGAACAGAACACAGAACACAGAACAGATTACAGAATAAAATAGATTACAAGGAGAATAGAATAGAATAGAATAGAACAGAACAGAACAGAACAGAATAGATTAGAATAGAATAGAATAGAATAGGGAAAAGAACAGAACACAGAACAGGTTATAGAATAAAATAGATTACAAGGAGAATAGAATAGAATAGAACAGAACAGAACAGAACAGAACAGAACAGAACAGAACAGAATAGAATAGAATAGAATAGAATAGAATAGAATAGGGAAAAGAACAGAACACAGAACAGATTACGGAATAAAATAGATTACCAGAAGAATCGAATCGAATCAAATCGAATCCAATAGCAATAGCAATAGCAATAGCAAAAAATAGAAGCTTGATGGGACCTTGGAGGTCTTCTAGTCCAGCCCTCTGCTCAAGCAGGAGAACCTAAACCATTTCAGACAAGTGACTGTCCAGTCTCTTCTTAAAAACCTCCAGTGATGAAACATAACTTTCTTAGCGACAGGAGTGCAGAGAATTCATTTTTGTTGTCCAACTATTTTTCCTTGTAATGTGTACGTATTCAAAATACGTATCTCAAAATATTAAACTATTACATAACAGTATTAATGGGATCAAACTCATGTAAACGTTTTCAAAATGTAACAGCTTAGTACACTAAAGAAACATGTCTTTTGATTCTTAGGGCATCTCCAACAATATGATCATTTATTTGTTCCATTTCCACGTAAACATAATAGGATCCAGTATAATCTGACCTGTTATAGTTGTTTTGACCCAATAAGATCCATTGTGTTAAGGATATTGTTGTTGTGTTACCAACCAGCAGAGAGTGTAGAGCACAGAGAAACGTTGCTGAGAGCAATGAATAAGAGATGTGCAAACTGGTTTATCAAAAGCTTACTTTATAGTGACAAAACAATCTCATAGTCTTTAAATCAATCCAAGTCTTTGCCAGTTAAATAAGTCCAGTGATACAGGAATCTTCTTACCACACAAACAGTAGTTGGTTAGAATAACAAACTCACTCTGGTTCACAAACCACGATGGTAGCAGATCCATCCAACGATGATAGCACAATGGTAGCAACTCCACACACTATGGTAGCTTATCATCAACTGAATACGTAACCCTAACCCTAACCATATCCTAACACATTGATTTGTAGGTTTTCATAACCCGGGGGTCTCCAGATATACAAGAATTCTTTCAACCGTTCAACACATCTGGAGTACCCCAGTTTGGGGAAGGTGATCTATCAATACGGGCAGAACATGAGGTGACTTCAGTGTTTAGTTGAAGAATTGTTCCATCTCCCCTCTCTCCTAATTTAGGAAAACCCTCCACCTCTCCAGGCAGCTGAAGGACCAAACCGTGGAAGCCCAGACATGCTACAGTCTTGGAAACACGTACACCCTTCTTGAAGACTACGAGAAGGCTGTGGAATACCACCTGAAGCACCTGGCCATTGCCCAGGAGCTTGGAGACAGGTAAAGAAATATCTATTTTCTGCACTTTTTTGGGGGGAGGGATCTGGTGTTGATCTTGAGGTCTTTTGTTAAAATGACAAACATGAAGTTTAGGAAGTTAGTTCAGTTTACGGTGAACCGGGAAGAACTGTTCAGATCATGCTGGTGAGAAACGAATGGAATGACAGGTGATTTGGTAAGAGATGCTGACTCCTAAGGATAGTAGCTATGTTAGGCTTGGCGTGGCTTAAATTAGCTTGGCTTAAGTTAGCTTGGCTTGAATTAAGTTGGGTTGAGTTGGCTTCACTTCCGTTGAATTAAGTTGGGTTGGGTGCAGTGGTGGGTTCCTCCCGGTTCGGTCCGGTTGAGCCGGTAGCGGTGACGATATGATGTCACCGAACCGGTTCTCCCCCCCCGCCCTCCCACCCCCCCACCCATGTTATTCTTACCTTTTATTTGGTCCCACCCCCAATCTATTGCTGCCTCCTGAGTCCCAGCTGATGACTAGAGGGAAAAAAACTGTTTAAACTCTTGCCGCAGGGCTTCAAAGGGCCGCCCTACAGCTGATCAGTGTTAAAAGCAAACAAATGAGTCGGGTCATAAGTGCAAGGACTGGTCGTAAGTGCGAGGACCTTCCAGAAATGACTCTGACCAGCTAGCCATGCCCACCTAGTCACATGACCTCCAAGACACACCCACAAAATAAGCCACGCCCACAGAACCGGTAGTAAAAAAATGTAGAATCCACCCCTGGTTGGGTGGTGAGGTTTTCGGACACTAAGCTCACCCACAGAGAGAATCAGAATCAAAAGAGAGCTGGAAGGGACCTTAGAGGTCCTCTAGTCCAGCCCCCTGCTCAAGCAGGAGACCTACCCCATTTAAGACAAGGGTCTGCCCAGTCTTTTGTTAAAAACCTCCAGTGATGAAGCACCCACAACGTCTGAAGACAAGCCGTTCCACTGATTAATTGTCCTCACTTTTAGGAAGTTTCTACTCAATTCCAGGTTGCTTCTCTCCTTGATCAGTTTCCATCCATTGTTTCTTGTCCTGCCCTTTGGGTGCTTTGGAGAATAAATTGACCCCCTCTTCTTTGTGGCAGCCCCTCAAATACTTAACGCATTGTAAGCCGCCCTGAGTCTCTGGAGAAGGGCGGCATATAAATCAAATTAAAAAAAAATAAAATACTGGAACGCTGCTATCATGGCTCCCCTACTCCTTCTTTTCTTTAGACTAGCCAAACTCAAATCCTGTAACCAACCGTTCTTCATATGTCTTATTCTCTGGGCCTTTTAATCATCTTAGTTGCTCTTCTCTGCACTTTTTCCAAAGTCTCAACATCTGTTTTGTAATGTGACCAAAACTGGGTGTAGTATTCTAGATGTGGCCTCACTAACGCTTTATAAAATAGTATTAATACTTCACCTGATTTTGATTCTATGCCTTGGTTTCTACAACCAAGGATTGTATTAGCTTTTTGATTTGCTGTCATTCTTCTTTCTTCTTCCTGGAGCTGTCCCAGCCTCGGCAGCCGCAATGGCTGCTACCCCGCTGCAGGAAAAAGGGCTTTCCTGGATCAACCAGGGACTTTACGGTGTCCCTGGGATCGACAGGATGTGCCCTCCACTACCACAGTCAAAACTAGACTGTGGGGTCCAAAATGGACCGTCCAGCAGCGGGGCTATCGGCGGGGATCCTGGAGCCTCAGAATCTCCCGTCCGTTTCGCCACGACGTCAGCTTCCAGTCTCCCAGTGACTGTTTTTGAGCCAGGTTTCAACTAATTGTATCAAGTATCTAGTCAAGTCTCTACTTAAGTCTGTCCAGCTTTGGATGGTCATTAAGTGAAACTGGGTGCTGCAAATCAAGATAAAATCTGATGCATCAGATGAAACTGGAACCCCTTCCCAAACCTATCCCTGAAATCAAGCACTTTTTTTTCTCAGCCTATCATACTACAAGTCTGTAGAGATTCTACGTCATTCCAGATCATGATTGTCCCAAAGGTTGTTGTGGCCTGCCAGTGGCCTGCGCGGATCGTAACTGATCCGACGCTGAGGAGGCTGGTGTGGGGTCGCGCCAGCAGCCTGAGCAGCCGGCGCTCGCATCAGACAGCGAGGAGGCTGAAGAGGATGTAGTGCCAGAGGCAGAGACTCGGCCTGGGCCTTCAGAACCTCCAGAGGCTTCTTCAAGTGGAGAGAGCGAAGTGGAGGAGCCTCTCCTTAATGCTTGAGCATGCAGGGCTGCCAAAAGGCAGGAGTGGCTACTCAGGAGGAGCAGGTCTCCTTGAGAGTAGGGCTTGAGGATAATTGGCCACTCCCTTAGCCTATTTAAATCACACACAGTTAGTAATTTCTTGCTGGAAACAACGTGTAATTATTACAGAGCATTTTGGAGAGTGAGTGTCTTATCGTATTTTGTTTTCTGGGCTGGTTGCAAACCTTTGCCGGACTTGGTACATTGGTGTGTGTCACAATCCTTGGGAATCCGGAGCTGGGGCAGAACAAAGGTGCTTTTTCAGGAGGCAACTGGACTTTCTTGTTTTTTCTTTTGAAGACGTTTCGCTTCTCATCCAAGGAGCTTCTTCAGCTTTGATAGGACAGTGGAGAATGGAAGGATTTATATTCCTTGCAGACAGCTGGTCATTTGCATCCTTTTAGAGGGTCTCTGAAGCACCTGGAGGTTTCTCTGTGTCCTCAGGATCACCTGAGTATTGCTCCTGGTTCCCATAGACTGCAATTTTTTTCGCTTTGGAACGCCATTCCTATTCCCACCCCATTTAAAGGGTGTTCATCTCACATTGTATAACGAAAAGTTCACTGCAAAGCTTAACCATCTCTGTTCTTTATTTTCTTGTTTTAACCACAAGGTGGCATCACCATCTTTTCTTCTCTTTTTTCCCTGGTAAATTTCCTAGATTTAAATTCAAGGGCCATGCCACCCAGAACAGAAATGTCATGGCAGAACATGACCTGTTGAATGTCTGGCTGTGTTTTCTGTGCATTTGCTTCCCCCAAAACCAGACACAACTAACTTCCTGAGGTTTTGTTTTGACTGTCAAACCAGGATGGCTTAGGGATGATGGGGGGTGTTTGTCCTGATATAAGTCACTTATTTATTATAAAACAGTGTTTCTCCACCTCAACAACTTAAGATGTGTGATTTATGCCGGATGGGCAGTAGTGGGTTGCTCCTGGTTCGCACCGGTTCGCAAGAACCAGTAGTAAAAATTTGTAGTAGTTCGGAGAACCGGTAATAACATTTGCTGGCCACGCCCCCGAACTGGTCCCCGGCCCGATCGCTGATCGCTTACCCTGCCCACCTCATCAGAGGCTTTTTTTTTAACTTTTAAAAGCATTTTTTCTACAATCTCTTCGGCCGAAAAAAATGCTTTTAAATGTAAAAAAAAAAAAACTCTGACGATCGTGCGTCTCAGCTGGGATCATCAGAGACTTCTGAAAGCATTTTTTCTGTAACCTCTTCGGCCGAAGAAGTTATAGAAAAAAAAAAAAAGCCTTTAAAAGCCTCTGGCAATCCCAGCTGAGTTGCCTGATTGTCAGAGGCTCCTGAAAGCATTTTTTTCTGCAACCTCTTAAGGTTGTAGAAAAAATGCTTTTAAAAGTTTTAAAAAAAAAAAAGTTGGCCACGCCCACCCAGTCACATTACCCCCCACCAAGCCACACCCACAAAATAAGCCACGCCCACAGAACCGGTAGTAAAAAAATTTAGAACCCACCCCTGTGGATGGGGATTTCTGGGAACATCTCAAACAGTAATATTTGTCCCTGTGGTTGTAAGAAGAGCCTTTCTAATGCAGGTCCCGTCTTAATTCATTCGGTCACTTCGCTCCTTTTAGCTTGGAAAAAAGATGGTTGAGACTTTGGGAAAAGTACAGAGAAAAGCAAATAAGATGATTAAAGGCCTGGGGAGAAAAACATACGAAGAAAGGTTTCAGGAACTGGGTGTAGCCAGACTAGAGAAAAGAAGGAGTAGGAGGAACATGAGAGTGGCATTCTAGTATTTGAGGGGCTGCCACAAAGAATAGGGGAGGGGGTCAAATTATTCTCCAAAGCACCGGAGGGCAGGACAAGAAACAATGGATGGAAACTAATCAAGGAGAGAAACAATCTGGAATGAAGGAGAAACTTCCTAACTGTGAAGACAGTGGAACAGCTTGCCACCAGAAGCTGTGGGTGCTCCATCACTAGAGGTTTTAAAGAAGAGACTGGACAGTCACTTGTCTGAAATAGTATAAGGCAATGATGGCTAACCTTTTTGCCATTGCGTGCCAGAAAGGGGGGGCAGGGGGGGTCACGTGCGCACGTGTCCACACCCATAATTCTATGTGACCAACCCACCCTGCTTCTGGCACGTTTTTCTTTCTCACCTGGCTCCAGGACCTCTCTAGGCATCTGGGGAGGGCGAAAACAGCCTTCCCCACCCCTCCGGAGGCCAAAAATGGCCCGTTTGACAACTTCCAGTCCCATCGGAAGCTGAGCTCACATGCGCACTGATATGGTTACCCATGCCACAGGTTCGCCATCATGGGTGTAGGCCCTATATCTGACTAAAGAGCTGTGCTTTAGCTGTGCTAAAGAGCTGCCTCCTGCCTTCCACGATCTCCAAAGTTCCTCCCCCATTGAATCATAGCTTTCTCCTGCCTTCCACAATCTCCAAAGTTCCTCCCCCATTGAATCCTACTTTTCTCCTGCCTTCCACGATCTCCAAAGTTCCTCCCCCATTGAATCATAGCTTTCTCCTGCCTTCCACAATCTCCAAAGTTCCTCCCCCATTGAATCCTACTTTTCTCCTGCCTTCCATGATCTCCAAAGTTCCTCCCCCATTGAGTGCCTCCAGCCTTCCAGTACTCCTCAGATCTTTGCAGTTTCTCCCCCCATCGCGTGTTAGCTTTCTCCTGCTTTCCTGCAGAGGCATCTGCAGAGGGTAGAACCTGCAGAGATCGGGGAATGCTCTGCCTCCGTGCATGCGCGGCAGAGACTGGAAGACCAGCTGGCTGATGGGAGGTGCGCGCATGTGCGGTGGACCTGGGCTGGGGCGACGGCTGGTGTGCCGGCAGAAGGGGCTCTCTGGAGGCCAAAAATGGCCCATTTGACAATTTCCAGTCCCATTGGAAGCTGAGCTCACATGCACACTGATGTGGTTACGCATGCCATAGGTTCGCCATCACGGGTATAGGGTCTCCTGCTTGAGCAGAGGGCTGGACTAGAAGACCTCCTAGGTCCCTTCCAGTTCTAATTTGATTGATTGAAGCTGGGCAAGAAGACTTCAGGCTCACCAGTTTGTCTCGCTCTCTCCTTTTGGGATTTGAAAGGAAGCCCAAGACGCATCAGCCAAATATGGTCATGTTTTAGAATAGCATTTCTCTAATTTAGCAACTTTAAACTGTACACACCAACTTCCAGAATTCCCCAGCCAGCATGCTACCATCTCACCATCAGGGAAACATCTCAAAGTCCTTTGTTCATAACCTTCATTGGCGATTAAGTGTCTTTACTGACATTTTTTTGGCCGTCTTCAAGGTTTCTTGATGGGCTCGAAAAGCACATAACAACCTGAGGCTTCTCCAAGGTTGGAACTATTTGCAGGTATTATCGTTCTGGCTGGAAATGTTAGGGTTTGTAGTCCCTCTGCCCTTGGAAACCCCCCTCCCCAAGTGAAATAAGATGACTGGACCCTGGAGGAGGGATTTGGGGTGACTTTTTTTTTTTTTAAACTGGTGCAATTAATTTTCTTTATACAGAAGATCAGGTTTTGTTTGCTTGCCATGGATTTTTAAAAATAAGGTAATAGTTATAAATAAAAAGTTGCTAAGCTATGTCACATCATCAAAATTGTTAGATGCAGAGTACTTAAAGCTCACTGTTTGGATGAATGAATCTGTTAGTTTGTTTTTGTTTTTTATTTTTTTTCTCTCTTGCACATTTAAATCTCTCTCTTCTCCCTGGATCATGAAGAAATTTAAAAATGTGAATTATTTTTTTTTAAATTTTTTATTGTATTTTTATTGTTAAAGAATAACAGAAAAAAAACAATACAAAAATCAATAGTAAAGAAAGAAAATTTTTTCCCCCCAACGTGCTATACAAATGGAAAGGAAGTTTTAGGAAATTAAAGTCTTCAATTCTTCCAGAAATCTCTTTGATAAGGTACTGGCGCCGATTCATCCAATCTCCCAAGTGCAAAGTCCACAAATGGTTGCCAAGTGTTCCAAAAAACATTCTCTTTGTATATACCACTTCTAATTTTAATATCACAAGTCAATTTATCATTTAATGCAAATTTCCATGTTTCATTATACCATTCTTCTAATTTTAAGTCAACATTTAATTTCCAATAATGTGAATTAAAAAAACAAAAACAAAAACCCTTAACAGGTCTGAATAATTTTGTTGCTTCATCTTGTTGCCAAGCTCAGCCTTTAGATCCTACTGAAGAGATGAGTCAATCAATTCAATAATAATAATAATAATAATAATAATAATAATAATAATAATAATAATAATAATAATAATAATTTTATTTCTATACCGCCCTTCTCCCGAAGAACTCAGGGCGGTGTACAGCCAATTTAAAAACACAAGACACAATTCCATGAGCTTTGTGCTACAACAGCTAGTGAATTTGAGCCTTTATCTGTCTACTCACCACTGCTGGAGGCCTCTGCGAGATAAAACATTCTAAAGTTTTCAGGGTGTTGGGGAATAGAATTTTTTTTTAAAAAAAATAATCTTTACATTTCAGTTAAAAAGAAAAGACAACACAACCTAAAGTGACGCACAAAAAACAATACAACTTGTTTTTGGGGTGACTTTCAATGTGTAACCTTTTGAATCATATCTTCTCTAATTCAGTGGAGTTGTGGATTTTCTTTCTTGAGTTTTAAATGGAGGCAGGCGCGACAGGCTGACAGCTGACCATGCTGTATTCTAGACTTAGCATGCCGGCTGGGGAATTCTGGGAGTTGAAGTTCAGCCTCAGTTGCCAAGTTGTCAAGGTTGAGAAACACTGCTTGTAACCTGATAAATGTTCATAAGTAGAGCTCTACAACCAGAATAATTGCAGGCTACTGTTTCATCAAGGTGAAATGCTCCCGGTTCGGACCGGATCGCCCGATCCGGTAGCGATGGAGGCGGGTGGTTTGGAGAACCGGTAGCAAAAATCCCTGTGCCCCCCCCCATGCCCAGCTGAGCCGCGCGATCATTAGAGGCTGGTTTTTTTTTTTTACTTTTAAAAGCATTTT